CTCGAACAGTTGTTTTGTACAGATTTGTTCTTTACATTTGAAGTATTTTAAGCATTTGAAAGTATTCAGTTCATAATGCACTGAACTTCCTGAGAAACTAATGGCCACTATGGCAGGACAGAAAAATATGTGCTCTTTATGATACCTAAAAACTGCATAATGAGGAGTTTCATAACTTGTACCTTTCACCAAGTACAAGTAGAATGATCACTGGGCTGGCCATGTAGCAGGCATAGGAGGAGAAGATGAATGCATATAGGATTTTGGTGGAAAAGCCAGAAAGAAACTAGAAGATCTAGACACAGGTGGGAGGATAATATTAAAATGGACCTTAAGATACACAGAATGAGATGGTGAGGACTGGCTTCATCTGCATCAGGACAGGGACCAGTGGTGGACTCTTGTGAACAGTAACGAATTTTTAGGTTCTGTAGAATGTTGGGAAATTCTTCAGTGGTCAAGCAGCTGGTGATATCTCAGAAAGGGCTCAGCTACATGGAGTTTGTTAGGTATGGTACCTAAAGGTTCATTACTGTGTTCACACATGCCCATTAAGGCTGTGTAGCCTGAGCCAAACAAACCCAGTCGAAACTCTTTCAAATTATTTCTTTAAAATCTGTCTTAATAAGATTCTTTCATCTGCACTCCCAGGTGGTCCGTCTCAGGCTCCCTGTCCAAATTTTGTGTGCATTTCTCATTCTAACATGTATGCTACATGGCCTACCCACATCACTCTCCTTGAATTGATCAGTCTCCCACACAACATACCAAACTGCTACAGTGTCTACAACCATATGTAAGAAACTCCCCAGATGGATAATGAAAACTAACACAAGGTTGTCACAAAATATTTAGTTTCTTTGCCCAAGAGAACTGACATACATATATAACAGTAAAATTCTTGTCTGTAAACATGAGTACAAAACTCTCACCATTCTTTCTTTCACAGCAGCAATTACTTTTTCAGCACTTGTTGCATGAGATTGAAGAATCCTTTGTAACCTTGAAATATGTTTATCATACATGACATTTCGTCAGGTTCAGTGGAATTCACTTACAAGAATCTTAGTGATATAACATGTTAGTTCTAAAAAAATCTGTGTACCACTAGTATCCAACCGGGAATAATTCCCCAAATCTGTATGGATTTTTGCTGCTACATAATTTCCTGGAAACACTGTTTGGTTTACAAAATATAATAATTTCATCTATATTACATCTGCTTAAAAGAAAATGGAAGTGCTACATCACAAGCAACATTCAACAAACTACAATTGCCTTGACTCACTTCACAAAAAGAAAGCTCTTCAAAATCCAGTCAACACAGTAGCTGTTTCCTGTGCACAGAGAGAGACAGACATGGAGATCAAAAAGACAATTAGCATTTCTGCATATCTGTGATATCTGCCTAACAGTGGACATACAGCTCACCTCAGGTTCAGCCTTTATTTCCTGAATTGTTTTTGGTACAGAATCCTCTTCCTCTTCTGCATCTGACACTTCCTCAGCTTTTATATTCAAGGCTTGATTTGCATCATAACATGGTGGGTATGTCTCACCATATGGACCCACTAAAACATCCTCTGAATTTGTACAGTTCTGTAAAACCATCATATCTGTCATGGCTGTACAACCCCATTACATGAAACAGTGTACGCTAGCTATCCTTGCTATGGTTGTTTTTTGTTACATGTAACTCATAGCAATTGTTTTGTACAGATTTCTTCTCTACAGCTTTCAAAAGCATTACAAAGTACCTGGTTTATAGCACAGTGACCTTCCTGAGAAACTAATGGCCACTATGCCAGTACAGAAAATATCTACTATTTATGTATGGTACCTAAAGGCTCACTCATTACTCGATTCACACACACCCATTAAGGCTCTTTATCCTGAGTGAAACAAACACAGCCCAAAGCCCCTCCCCCAATTATTACTTTAAAATCTGTCTTTATTGTATCCTATCTGCACAAATGTCTCCATGTGATCCCCCCTTTCTTCAGGTTTTCTGTCCAAATCTTTGTACACATTTCTCATTCTCACATATGTGTTATATGACCTACCCATAATCACTCTCCTTGAATTGATAACTCTCCTATAATAAGCAAACTGTTATAATGTGCATAAGAATTATGCACAAGAAACTCCCAAGATGGATTATGAAAACTAACCCTAGCTAGTAGTTACTATAGGATTCTGACGAGGGTGTATAACACACAGAGATATTGGGTTTTTGGACTGGTCCAGTGATTGAGGCTAGCTCTTTCTAAGGGACCCAACAGAATAGGTGTTTTCCCCCACCTGAGGATGGAAACAGGTCCAGTTTCTGGAACGTCTTGTTTTTGTTAGTTATCTTTAAAACCAGGACGATGGATAAATTCCGAAAACCCAATATCTCCAGTGCTTGAGGCTAGCTCTTTCTAAGGGGCCCAACAGAATAGGTGTTCTCCCTCGCCTGAGGACAGAAACAGATCCAGTTTCTGAAATGTCGTGTTTTTGTTAGTTATCTTTAAAGCCAGGACGATGGATAAAGTCCAAAAACCAAATATCTCTGTGTAACCCTAGCTAGTCACAAAACGTTTAGTTCTTTGGCCATGAGAACTGACATATGACAATAAAACTCTTGTGTACACATAAGCACTCACCATGCTTTCTCTCACAGCAGCCCTCTGTAGCACAATTCTTGGCATTCCTGTTAGAAGAGAAAGCAAATGAATTCACTTACAAGAATCCTAGTAACATAGCCAGTACCTAACTGGGAATAGTCCACTTACATTCATTTCCATCTTAAATGCAACTTTATTTATAATTCGTCCTTTACTTAGAAATATGAATTAGAAATTGCTGCATGTTTCAGTCTTCCTCGGGCAACTTGTCAAAACTGTTACTTATTTTCAATGTAATTAAGATGATACAGTTGTATTAGAATATTTCCATGTTTTCTATGTTTGTCATCCAATCATAAAATAAGATATTTGTTTGAGAACCCCACTATTAACATTTTCAGGTGCTGCCTTCCTCCTGCAGCATCAATGTGTTCTCTAATGTGTAAATGCTGTGCTGTATTAATGATTTTGTTATTAATTAACATTGACAAAATGTTACAGCTGTTTAATTTACTTACACATGTCACTTTGTACCTTGTATGGATGTTGCTGTGGTGTTATTACCTTGTTTTAATCTGTAATATACAAAATATGTTTCATATTTGCAAATTATTTTCTTTTTATGTATATATACTTATATGCCCCACTGGTGTGTTGTTGGATTAGTTGTGTGTGTATGCATGTGCTGCTGACGTAAACTTCATGAAATGTCTGGAATATGTGGTTGTATATATTGTTCATATGTAAGTTACCACTACTGATTCTATAAATGTAATATTTTTATAAGATATTTAAATGTCTAACCCTCTTTCCCGTTTTTATCATATTCATGGTAATTGTTGTTGTTTCTGATGGCGTGAATGTTTTCTTTATGTCTGGTTGTAAATAAAGTTGTATTTAATACAGAACTGAAATGTGTATAAGTGGCACATTAATGCAACAGACGCTGAATTACAATATTGGGAGCAACTGCTCAAGTTTGTAAGGAAAACATACTAATGACTGTGTACAAGCACATATTCACTTTTTTTTTTTTTTTTCTCACAGCAGAGACTACTATGAAGCTGACTGTCTTATGAGGTGTGTTGTCTGAAAGGCTGCTACTTAAGCTTCAAATGTAGCTGGGGCACCCATTTTGAAGGAACCTGTTTCTTCTAAAACATCGATAACAGGTTACCAGACTCCACGATGTTACATCCTAGACACTGTACACTTAATCTGCAAATTAATATCGCGGAGCCGGAAATTCTGTATATCCCGCAACTTCACCATAGACCATCAGCTGTCATAGCTGTCTTTATTATAAGTCGGACTGGTATATGTAACAGGCGAGAAAGGTTATAAACTGTAAAAATGTGCAATCTAATAGAAACATGTGGCTCAAAAAAAGCGCTGAAGAAAAATCGAAAGTAGAATTGGCAGCAAAGGAATAATATCAAAAACCGCACCGAGATTGCTTCTCAGAATTTGTAGAAGTCGAATATACATCAAGTGATCTAATAAATCCCTAAATGATACTCAAATTACTTGCATAAACACTCAATTTACATACTTCTCATCCCAAAACACCAGCGCCTACTTACCATTACCTACAACGGAACATTCGAATTTCTCCATTGATTAGTACTCACTTTGTCCACGTAGAGGCACAACGAGCAAGATGACCACCATCGCCTGGATAGCCTGGATCGGCCTGGATGACTTGTGACCACGGCAGATTGTGCCAACTTCAGGCAATTCAGTGTTTTAGGCCGGGCGCAATAAGTGAAGGTATGTGGTGATAAAACTAGCAGTGCACGGGTACCACCATAAAATATGTAAAAACATGTATTATCACGACCCAAGCGAAAACTGCGTGTGCTCGTTATGATTGATTGATTGATTGATTGATTTATTTATTTCGTCACTGTAGATCATTGTACATGATATAGGACAAATCAAGTTAATTCTGAATATTAACAATTTAATATATGAGTAAGATTAAAATTACAATAGTTACAATTGTTTACAGTTGATTACAATCTAGAATTAGTTAGATATTCTAATATGTGGAGAATTTGATGGAATGAAAATTGGCAGGGGAAACCGAAGTACTCGGAGGAAACCTGCCCCAGCGCCACTTTGTCCATCACAAATCCCACTTGCCCAGATCGCAGTGGTGGGAAGCCAGCGACTAATCGCTTAAGCTATGTCGTGGCCTGAGAATAATGATATTGTGACGTGCTGAGCCATGGATCACCCCTACCTCCCCAGCGGTACGTGGCGGTGACGCAACGTTCGCGTTACAACGGTAATAGGCGAGTTCCCGCCCCGCCACTCCCCTCCGCGGTGACGTCACGCGGTAACGTAACGCGCAACGCTAACGTACCCGTAATCAATTTCCTACTGTGACGTGGCACTCATTACGCCACAGGCAAGCACTGCAGCTATATAAGTGAGCTGCACAGTACGTTACGATCAAATGGGATGGAGATCAATCCCGTGTGGAGGCGGGGTCGAATACCTCCACCGTGACCCTGCGAGTCGTAGGAGGCGACGAAAAGGGAAGTCTCAATTCTGAGACCGTAAAATAGAGTCGCGAGTCCCAAGGGACTCGGACCCGAGTAAGACTGTGCTGGCAAGGGCCAGCAGCATATATAAAAGACAGACCCGTCCTCTCGTCAGAGAGAACGCCCCACAAAAAACAAAACCGTAACGTTCAACAGTAATAAATATCTGGTCATGAGCACCAGAAGGGGCTCGACACCAAGACTTACTGACTGACTGACCGTCAGTCGCAATTTGACTTAGACTTAGACTTAGTTACGATCAAGTTCTACTGTAGCAGCCGCCTGACATCGAGTTCCAGTGTGGCTACCGCCGAAGACATTTCCGAGTTATAATGTGGACATCGCTGAGTTAAGTAGTCAACGAGCGAGTGCGTTATCAACAGTTCTCCAGTCAGCCGACTATAGTTGGAGTATAGCAGCCGTCGCGGAAAGAAGATCCGGACGTGAGTGTGATTGTGATATTGGGAGCGTGTGATACAGTGATACCTAGCTCCCCTACTGTCAACGTGTAGATTACTGAATACAGAGTGAGCTGATTTGCGCATAGGGTTATAAATCGTGAAACCCCGCAACAGTGTTAACAGATTAATGCGATTAGGGTTATAAAGTGTGAAACCCCGCAACTGTGTGATAATTAATTGTAGCCGTTATTTGTAGATTGTTAAATAAACCAATTAACCATCTCTACGGCGTCTTCGGTAACGCAAACACGTTACAATATGGATAGCTAGTGTAATGTTCACTGCAGATTGGTGCCCTTCTTGATCGATGGCCTGGTATTCTCGATCTCTCTCTAAGCGGCCTACGTACACGTCCCTCCATCACATGATGTCCTTTCTATCATATACCCAATATGGTGTCTTGATTCCTTTAAGCAGAAGAGAACTGCGCTGTATACATTCATAGCATGCTGGTATAAGCTCAACACGTCAATTATTCTTGAATTATCTGGTCATATTGACGTTGACTAGGGTTTATCCCCAAACAAGAAAAACTCATCTATACTATAAAAACAATGTTCAAGTAGAAATGTTTTCAAAGTCTTTTTAAATTTATATAGTGCTGGTATATCTTTTATATATTGTGGCAAGTGGTTTAAAAGACGAAGTCCAATATTATTGAAGTTGTTTTTACACATACTCGTCCTACATGGAACTATGAATAAGTTGTCTTTCTTCCTTGTATTGTGTAAGTGTACTGCTGAATTAGTAATGAAAACATTCAAGTTGGATTTCATGTAAACTAATATTTCATATATATACAAACATGGTAGAGGTAATATATGTAACAATTTAAAATATTGTTTGCAGCTGGTGGTTTTTTGTATTTGCATTATAGCTCTAATAGCTCTCTTTTGTATCTTAAAGATCAATTTTGCATTCGCTGAATTGCCCCAGAATATCAATCCATATGATAGCAGGGATTGAAAATACGCATAGTATAAAGCGAGAACTGTCTCTAATCCTGATACTTTTTTGACTATTCGTAAGCCAAAACATATTTTACTTAACTTACTGTAGTTCTGCGATGTATACCACATCACAAGATGTAAAAACAACCATAAATCTCTGTGTGATTATAGCAAAGGCTAAAACCCAGAATCTATGTAATGCACATTGTCCGCTTTTCTGTTAATAATAAAAAAAAAAAGTGAAGGTAGTCTGATCCGGTCTGATCCATCTGATCCTAAGCTAATCTTACGGAACGGTGACACCGCCGCGTGTGGGATAACGCCTCGTAGGCCTCGTGTAGTATGCACATTGGATATGAGTATATTGTGATAGAATCGGGAAAGACACTGACTAATAAAAATTTTTGCGAAGTTTTATAACCTGTCAGCAACAACTGTGATCCTTGCCGTCCTTGCGCTGCTTGCGCCTAAGTTGGTTGCCGCCATTTGGAAATGTCCGTCGGTGTTAATCGTGTTAATGGTGTTACGACTAGTGTGAAGAATGATGTAGGTAGAGTAATTCGTTTGCATATTGACAGAACCTTGGAACAGTAAATATTGACCTTCCAGGTATATAATATATTTCATAATTTTGGAGGGAGAAGTTGTGAAATATGTATTTCTATTCTATTTTTCTTCAAGTTTTTGTTTAATTTTATCGGTATGTGGTCTTCGCTTCTGTTCAGAGGTGGCAGTGATATCCGAATTATAGCTATATTGTAGAATGCTTTGGTGCCTCTTGGTCAGTGAAATTGTGTTTTTCTCATATGCTATTTCGAAATATAGCTCCATCTGAGATGTATTTACCTGTACACGAAAACCGCAGCCCCACTGGTTTGACCTTGGTTCTAACCAAGAGTACAGTCTTCGTTGTTATAATGCCATTTTGTTCGCAGAGCGCCAAGTGTTTCAGAGCGATCTCCGGATTCCATATTCAGTATTTGAAGAGTAAGAAAATAAATCAAGAGATGAAGGTTAGAAACTCAGCTCATTTCAGCATGTGTCCTGTTTCTGGTGGTTTCTTTCTTGGCTTACATTTTTTTCTTGAGAGTGGAGGTGATGGCCTTCACTGAAACGTCAGGCAGGCTTTGAACTACGCCTTCATACAACCCCAAAGATGCACTCTTTCATAGTTGCAAGTAAAACTCATATCCAAGTATTTACCATATTTTCATCTGTTATCATCACACAAAACGCACTGGTGTATAAGATGTGCTGAGACTCTTTTTTAGGCTATTTTGAGGGACAATCTCATCTTGGGAATTAAGAAATGTAGCAGTTTTTTTGCCATGAAGCAGATCAAACTCAAAAGTTGACTGTCTACTGCTGTACAGCAGTGTGTAGCTTGAATTTAAGAACTTTATAAAATAATCATACGTGACATGTGACTTTTTGGAGATGAACATAAATATGTCAGTTCATTAAAGTGTGTGTTCTGTTTTGAAATGGCGTGTTTTTGCCAGTTAGCAATTCCACCACAGATATCTTGATTTAGAAAGTGGCACAATCATGGTCTCTGAATATAATGGATCTAGTGATTGTGGACCTTAAGTGATTTTCTCATTGACTTTATCACTTGTAAATAAGAATATGATGGATGTAATATACTAGGTGGGTCCCTTGTCACCACAGGATGGAGTGTCCTTAGGTTGCAGATAGGGGACACAACCTTCACATATGGAGGTTAGCTGTGAATATATTAAGCAGTCCCGGACAACTGATAAGTGGTGATCCTCCAGCTTGGTGGGTGGGCGTGATGCTAACAGCTCCTTACTGTAAAATGTAAGCTTGTTAAAAGATCACAGGAAGCCTCAGATCTGGATGGATTCTTTGGATAAATGAAAGAAACTGGATATGAGATTTGGTACTCTGAAAGTTAGATGTATAAGACAGGTTTGCTCATAAATATCAAAATATAAGTTACATTTAGTGGCAGTACAAGAAGTCAGATGGGACAGAGGTGGCACCAAAATAGCAGGTGAATATATATTTTTCTATGGAATGGGAAATAAGGATCATGAATTATGTACAGGTTTTTCATTCATAAGAGAATCATATCAGCAGTTGAGAGGGTAGAGCTTGTTTGTGATAGGGTGTCGTACATAATACTAAGAGGTAGCTGGTGTGGTATTGTTCTGAATGTTCATGCCCCAACAGGATAAAATTGATGATATGAAGGACAGGTTCTAGGAAGAACTGAAACATGTATTCGATAAATTCCCTAAATACCATATGAAAATTTTGTTAGGAGATTTCGGTGCCAAAGTAGGAAGGGAGGACACTTTCAAACCAACAGTTTGGAATGAGAGTTTGCACAAAATTAGTAATGATAATGGAGTTAGAATAGTAAACTGTGCCTTGTCCAAAAATCTTATTGTCAAAATTACTATGATCCCACATTGTAACATTCTAAAGTTTACTTGGACATCCCCTGATGGAAAGACGCACAACCAAATTGACCATATTATGAAAGACAGGAGATGGCAGTCAAGCATACTTTATGTCTGATCACTCAGGGCTGCAGATTGTGATGGCAAAAGTTAGTGAGACACTGTCAGTGGGTAAACAAGCAACGCGTGGAGCTCATGGAGAGGTTCAGTATCAAGAAATTAAACAAGGTAGAGAGTAAAGAGCAGTTTCATGTTGAAATCTCAAATAGGTTTGCAGCTTTGGAAAACTGAGGTGGATATTAATAGAGCTTGGGAAACTATTAGAGACAATATAAAAATTTCAGCCAAAGAGAGCCTAGGTTATTATGAACTGAAGAAGCATAAGCCATGGTTTGGTGAAGGATGCTTAGAATTATTAGACCAAAGGGAACAAGCCAAATTGCCATGGTTACAGGGAATATCTGAAGGACGAAATTGATGAACTCGTAATGAACCGTAAGAACAAGAACATTAGAGTCCTGTATAGTGGAATAAATGAATTTAAGAGGGGTTTCCAATCTTCAAGTAACTTAGTGAAGGATGAGAATTGTGATCGGCTTTCAAATTCCCACAGCATTTTGAATAGGTGGAAGAACTAATTCTCTCAGTTATTGAATGTACATAGGGTGAGTGAAGTTAGGCAGATAGAAATGCATACAGGTGAGCTGTTAATGCCTGATTGTAGCCCTGTTGAGTTTGAAATTGGCTATTTCAAGGTTGAAAAGGTACAAATTGCCAGGTAGTGATCAAATTCTGCTATAACTGATTCAAGCAGGAGGTGAAATATTACATTCTATGATCCATTACCTAATTAATTCTGTTTAGAACAAGGAAAAATTGCTTGATCAGTGGAAGGAGTCTATTATTGTACTAGTTCACAAGAAGGTTGATAGAACTGCTGGTAGTAATTATCGGGGGATATCACTGCTATCAACTTCATACAACATTTTATCCAGTATTCTTCTCCCAAGGTTAAGTCTATGTATAGATGAAATTTTTGGGGATTGTCAGTGTGGACAATATTAAGATGGATCTTGTAGAGGTAGGATGGGATGGTATGGACTGGATTGATCTGGCTTAGGATAGGGACCTGTGGAGGGCTCTTACGAACAAAGTAATGACCCTTTGTGTTCCATAAAATGCTGGGAAGTTCTTGAGTAGCTGCTTCTGAAGAAGGGCTCAGCTTCATGAGAGTGAGTGAATGCATATGGACCTTCAGTGATTTATGTATTTATTGTGCCGTGCCACCAGAAAGCTGGAATGGTTGAGGAGATCATGGTTGATTTCGTAGGCATCGAATGATGTTCCTGCTATAGCACTGCAATTGGAATGCATCCATTGCTATACAGCGGCTAGCGATCGAACAGTGGACTTTCCACCATACGCACAATTTGTTGGAAGCAGCTATTGCATAGCAGTGGCCGAGGTTAACCTATGATGTCATAAGAAGGAGATGTCCCTAAGAAAGACGCCAAAATAATGACGGTCTAAGGACCAAAGAAGAGGCATAGGGACTGAAACCGCCGAAAGAGGAAGGAATGGACCCAAGGCAAGGATGCATGCCGAAAGAAGTTGGCCGTTGCCTGCAGAGGGACAAACCGCTGTGAGAAAGTGGCATGACAGATGAAGGAAAACAGCAGGAAGATGACCTGCTGTGTAAAAGAATCGGACCAGACTCCAATCTGCAGGAGGAACCTGGAAAGGATGGACTCCCAACTGATGCACCAGGAAGCACCAAGGAAACCAGGGATTGAGCCTTTGAGGGCCAGCTATGGCTTGGAAGCAAGGGGGAATTCAATAAGACCCTCAGAAAGGCAAATGGACTGGAAATAACAAAGCAAATTGCTGGATCTCCTGTCCCATTGCAAAGAAGTAAACACTGGACACTGTGAAAGGGTTGACCCCCTCCAAAAGGAAAGAAATTTTTAAATAGCTGCCAGAAAGCCGGAATGGTTGTAGAGATCATTGTTGATTTCCTAGGCAACGAGCGACGTTCCCCCTACAACACTACAATCAGAATGCATCCATTGCTGTGTAGCGGCTAGCAATCTAGCAGTGGAGTTTCCACCATTACACATGAATTGTTGGAAGCAGCTTTTGCATAGCAGCAGCCGAGGTTAACCCTTTGACATGGTATTCTCTATTGAGTCCCTGTGCATATTATAAAATGTCCAGCTTTAAAGAGACGGATCGAGTTCTTAGTGTAGCTCCAACCAAAGCAGAAGCAAAATTTTGTCCAACAAAGGGAACAGAAGACTTCACCAAGATTAGAGGTGCAAGGAGTAGTTATAACAGTGAAGTTGCGAATGATTGTACTTGTGAGTGTAACAGAGACTGTCCAATAAATATTCATTCAAATCCAAGACCCACACAATTTCTTGTTGCATTACATACAAAACACGTGACTATATGTATATGGCTGTCAGCAGAACAAATAAGTAATCAGCTCATCACCCGATTTGTGTAAATTGAGTTTATTATCTATGTTAAAATTACACAGCATGTTTCGGCTTACTTGGAGCCATCATCAGGCGATACACTATTTAAAGCTATGAAATATTGAATTTTAATTATAATAATAAATATGGATTCATATTTCAAATTGTTATAAAATAATACAATTTAATCTACGAGGGTTGTACTGAAAGTCGTGAGCAACAATTTTTTATAAAGTAACATGCTTTATTATTGGCAAACCAAATACACCACCTCAATATACAGACCTTTCTTTATTTTTCCACAAAATCGCCACTTCTTTGTACACATTTCTCCCAGCGTTCTGGGAGTTTGAAAATTCCCCTTCTGTAAAATTCCGTTCCAGCCATCCAAAGACACTGACGCGCTGCTTTCTGAATTGCCTCCCTTATCTCAAAACGTCCACTCAGCTTATCCTTCACAAATCCTAAAAGATGGTAGTTGGAGGGTGCCACATCAGGGCTATAGGAGGGGTGTGGAAGAACTTCCCACCCCATCTTTGCAATTGCTTCCAATGTGAGGCAAGCGGCGTGGGGACGAGTATTGTCATGCAGGATGATGATGTTACGTCCCGGACGTTTATCGCGCAATGCACGACAGCTTGTGCACCGTCTGGACATAAAAAGGAATATATTGAGAAGATATGTAATGAGATTATAGAATTTCAAAGGACAGGACATTATGATGTGATGTACATGAAGACAAAAGAACTAGGATGGAAAGAGAACCATGGGATTCAAAATATTGACATCAAAGACTCCCAGGGGAATAGAATAATAGATCAGAGGCAAGTGCAGAAAATTTGGGAAAATTATAATACAGAACTATGTGAGTGACGTAATCAGCCAGAAACCTTGGAAGTGGAACCGGAAGAAGAAGTAGATACAGACGAGAAAGGACAATATATTTTACAAAGTGAAGTGGAAAAAGCTATCAGGACATGAGGAATGGAAAGGCTACAGGAGATGATGATGTACCTGGAGATGTGCTAAGTTACTGGGAGAAGGTGGTTTGATAACACTGACAAACTAATAAACACCATTTATGAAACTGGGGAGTGGCCCAAGGACTTTAAAGAAGTGACAGCGATTGCCTTAAAGAAAAAGACAAAAACTACAAAATGCAGCNGGGCAAATTATTCAAACTGTGAAATATGCAGATGACCTTGTGTTAATGGCTAAGGAAGAAACTGTGCTACAGGGTATGATCGACAGTCTAATCGAAATTGGAAAAAACAAAGGTAATGAAAATTTTGAGACAACCAACCACAGTCACAGTAAAGATAGACCAAAAACAACTGGAGAATGTGAAATGTTTTAAATATTTGGGTAGCTTGTTAACAGATGATGGAAGGTGTACTTGTGAAATTAAATCTAGGATTGCCATGGCAAAAGCTGCATTTAGCAAGAAGAATCTTTTTACCAGCAAATTGGACTTAAATTTGAGAAAGAAACTAGTGAAATGCTACATTTGGAGCATTGCTTTGTATGGGGCTGAATCTTGGACACTTAGGGCAGTAGATCAGAAACAATTGGAAAGCTTCGAAATGTGGTTTGGAGAAGGATGGAGAAGATCAGTTGAACCGATTATGTGAGAAATGAAGAAGTGTTATTTAGAGTCAGTGAGCAGAGGAATATCCTACACGAAATAAGAAAATGGAAGGCTAATTGGATTGGTCATATCTTGTGCGGTAACTGCCTTCTAAAAGAAGTTATTGAAGGAAGACGAGGAAGAAGACGTAAGAAGATTCTGGATGACCTTTGGGATAGAAGAGGATATATTCATTTGAAGGAGAAAGCTCTATCGCATCAAGTGGAGGGACTGTTTTGGAAGAGACCGTGGACCTGTTGTCTTGACAGATTACAGATGAATGAATGAATGAATGAATAATTTTTTGTGCATTTTAATATCCTTTTGTTATTACCAAAACAGTAACTAATTAAAAAGTTCCCACATTTTCTAGACAATCGGCTCATACATGGCGGCAAGGTTGTCCGCCTTACGCACTGGCCACCCTTTACCCCCAAGAATATTTCTGGTACTCATTTGTGACGGAGCCTGTGTTGACTCCAGGGCCATAGTGCGGCTGGAAGGATTAGGTCAATTGAAAAAAAGTCCAAATTATCAAAACAGTGCCCTATCTTATATATCAACACTATATAACTTATGTTGAATATTCGCAGATTATGTCTTGTTCCCTGATGGCTGTTGAATTATTCTTAGGTACTGTCTTGTCCCTGATAGTGTTATTCTGTTTTGTCTTCATTACCTGAAACATAGTTTATCTTTTGAATTCATTTGTACATTTATTATTTGATTTGTATTTTATTATTTGTTAATGATGTAGTTTAACTGTACCTTGTGATTGCTCATTGACTTTACCATTTATAAGTTAAGTTTAATATTTGACCGTTTTTCTTCAAGTGAATTAATTGAGTTGATGAGGCAGTGTTTCGAAGGTGGCTAATTTTTATTGGCCAGGGCTGAGTTATGTGCATGTGAGAACTGTCTGTGGAACATTTTGGCACCACCTGAAGTCATGACGGTGAAGCTGTTCAGAATGTAAAGTCTTAAGAGGTTCAGTTCCATGTTTGGCATTGTATCAAGTGGGTGTTGTCATATTGTCCTCTTTTTCAGTATGGCCTGTAAGTTGGATGTAGTGTTTTTATGTGATTCTTTCCTTAATAGCTTTGCCATGTTTTCTACAGAAGTAGTCTCTTATTGGTAATATTATACATATTTAAGAATCCTGTTGCATTGAAGTATCACTCGTGCTTTCTCTTCCATCTATAATGCAACACACTTTTTTATTTCAGATGACAACAAAGTGACATTCAACTCACTGAAATGTCAGTTAAAACATCTTGTTTGCTCTGGCCCTTTTTATGAAGAACTGGAGAATATGTATAGCTGTGTTAATTTTGCCATGAATTATATGACTCTTGGGTAGGTGAAGATAAAATTTTCCCTTTGCTAGGGAATGGATCAGTAAACACGTTTCTGAAACATTCTTGGAAACCAACACATTGCGGGACGACGCAAACACGTTTCCATAGAGATAGATTCTTGCAAACAGCTCGTCACTGGATGATAAACAGATATTTCCATGGATATGAAATTGAGAGGTGTTTTCTCTGTCGGTCCATCTAGAAGTCATCAAGCCATGCCTGGAATGATATGGATGTCACTGTGATCTTGAGCTTTAGACATAAGTTGCTACTGGAAGAAGATCTTAATACTAAACATCTATTTTGGAATAGTGTAGTTTCCAACCTTTCAAGAGAGCAACTACTGAATTTACTGCATATAGATGATTTTGATATTTAAGCACCACAGTATCTGACTCTTTGCTCTTACGGGAAATGTTAACATGCTCAATATTCTTGTGCACAAGAATATCCGGCTAGTCATTGTCTCTGCCATTCTGGACTCAGATCATCTACGAATTGTTTTCCACTTGCTGAATGATGATAGAACTAGGAATCTTTGGACCCAGTTGACAAATTCACAGACTGGGAGCAATTTCAAAGCTTGGCCTCTGAATTTCAACATATTATAATATAATATTCTAAATTTAAATGTAAACATCATCTTAGTAATGCCATTTAATTACAGTATGTATCCATTTATTTAGAGAATTCAGTGATGACAGATATATTATCGTGGGCCACCTGATGAGGAGGATGATGATGGTCTGGACAGAAACATCAAGAAGTATATATAATAAAATAGAATGTTCAAATTTTAATACCAGTTGTATTAATTATTGTCTTGGAAGGATTGTTTGGATAAATGACATAAGCTAAAGAAAATGTAAATGAGATTTGGGACATGGAGTGTAAGAAATCTGCATAGGGTTGGTTCGTTCAGGTCAGTGGCAGAAGAAATGCCAAAATATGAGCTAGATTTTTGAGAGTACAGGAGGTGAGATGGGACAGAGGTGGGACTCAATCAGCAGGTGAATACATTTTTGTATGGTAAGAGGACTGAGAATCATGAATTTGGCATTCTCAATAGTTTCCATGATTACTGATAAGGTCATCAAATTAATAGAAGAACAAAAACACGCAAAGGAAAGTGACAACCAGTATAATATGTTCGACCTTGTAATACAACATCAGTACACGCCCACACTAACATCACAAACACAAGGAGTATAAATACGTGGTACAACACAACCTAGAACAGTAAAAACACAGCAGGCCACAAACACATACAGGCCAACATTAAAGGATGAAATAACAAAAGTTTTTTCAAAACATAATAGGATTGCCGAAATAATACAATATACCCATAATATATTTGCAGAACCCTCTTCTCGAGAATGACAAGGTGGCACACATTCGGCCCTCGTCAAAAAGAAATAATAAGGGGGATGATTCCAATAGAATCTTATCGCACTAACTATAAATATTTAGCGGCCTTCGTAGTCTAGAGGTAACGTTCCCACCTCATGACTCGTGGTACGTGGGTTCAAACCCAGTGGAGGTCGTGGAATTTTTAAGGGCGGAAAAATTCAGGGAACAAGTCCTCCAGGAGGGACCTTAAGCCGTGGGTCCCGTGTCATAGCTTTATGGCATGTAAAAGAACCTCATATCTCCAAAGGAGGTTACTGAGCCAAATTCAAGGACATTTCCCGCCCAACAGTAGTCTCTAACTCCTCTGATAGATGGGGGAAGCATTATAGATACCCCCAAGCCAGTAGAGGCCTAACTCGCTGGCTTGGTCGGGACTGATGGTACGCACCGATATCGGTAAGGTATAGAGACTGGTAGAATATCATAGAGGGAAGCAAAATGGACCAATACTGGTCTAAGTGCATGGGGAAACCCACCATCTCCAATAACTAACTAACTATAACTATTTTAATGTATTGGAACAGCCGCTGTAGTTCTAAAGACTTTAGATTTTACACCCAATTGCATATTATTTATATTGTATGTTTTTAGAACATGTACTGTAATAGTGGCTTCTAACTGTATTGATGTAAAGGTGTCCCCCTCTGAAGATGATATCTGAAGACCGAAACGTGTAAGGGCATGAATAATTGAAATAAGAAAAGAAATCTTAACCGGTCACACTGGATGGAACTAATTAACTTTTTCATAAAATTGAAAGGAGTGTTATGCCCCAAAATTCGAGATAGTAGACGAAGCCACGGCCCAAAAATGTTCGCGCCTAGCGAACAGTGTTGCACAGTTATTGCCGCAACTTGTAAACATCAGTAATGGCAAGNGGAGATTGAACTTGGCTAATGCTTGCTACCATTCAATCCAGAACCTTTTGTCTTCTTGTCTGCTGTCTAAAAACATAAAAAGTAGTATATACAAGATTATAATTTAGCCTCTGGTTCTGTATGGGTATGAAATTTGGTGTCCTATTTTTACTGAAGAGAGACGAAATGAACGGAGATTGATGAAAACTGCATAAACTGCCAAACATAATTAGAATGATAAAGTCAAGGAGAATGAGATAGGCAGAGCACGAATGGGGGAGAAGAGGAATGAATATAGGATATTGATGGGAAAGCCAGAAGGAAATACCACAAGGATGACCAAGACATAGATCAGTGGACAGTGTTAAAATGGATCTTAGGAAGATAGGATGGGATGTGATGGACTGGATTGATCTGGCCCAGGCAAGGGACTAGTGGAGTGCTCTTGTGAACAGGTAATAAACCTTCGGGTTCCATAAAATGCTGAGAAATTCTTGAGAAGTTGCACAATTTGTCTTCTCAAGAAGGGCTGAACTCCTTGATATTATGAGTAGTAATTACATAGTAGCCAGCATGGTACCTTTAATTCTTTTATTACCTCTTGTTGAGTGCAGTGTATGTGTTTTCTTGATGCTTTTGGTTAAAAAACTTACATGTGTCATGAGTGCCGCATATTATTGTATACAGTGTAGCAACTTACATGAATGATTTTATATACGAGAGTTTGAACTTTAATAGTGGCAACACTGCTGTAGAGGTGCTGTAGAGGTGTCGCTTATACCACACGTTAGTTACATACCTACCTTACCTCAGAGCAGATATACTCTCCCTTCCCACATCATGTGCATGCACAGTGACGAGAAGAACAGAGCCTCGTGTTAGCTGGCGGTCTAATGTAGTGTTGTCACGATGTTTTCAAAACGGAAACAACGGAGATGGATAAAGGTTGAATGTGACAGAGGCCGTACAGCACAACAGTGTTATCAAGGTCTTCAAGAGGTTTGCGGGGAATCTACATTGCCTTACAGAACAGTGGCAAGGTGGGTAAAAGCCTTCAACGAAGGACGCAAAAATGTGGCAGACATGCGTCGGCCAGGTCATCCTAGTGTCAGTGAAGAAGTGTGTGCTCTTTCCGTGTTACTGGAGAGTGATCGATGCCATACAATTCGTGAGCTGTCCTGAGAGACAGGATTAGCGTATACGACTGTGCTTCACGTTCTGAAGGAACACGTGGGCATGAGAAAAATTGCATCACGATGGGTTCCGCATGATTTGACGGAAATGCAGAAATGGCTACGATATGACGCTGCTCATAACCACTTGGAATGCTATGAGCGCAAAAGAGAGACTTTCTTACACTGGATGAGACATGGGCCAAATCGTACGAGCCACAAATGAAATGCCAATTGAACGAATGGCATCATTACTGGTCACCACGAAAATCAAAAGTTTGTCAGAACCCCAGAAGTGTGAAAGTTATGGTGATTCTCATATACGACTGTGATGGTCGCGTACCGTTCCTCGACAGCAAACCGTCAATGCGCAGTATTACTGTTCATTTTTGGAACACAATCTGCGACCAGCTTTGAGAGAGAAGTGGCGACACTTTCTGCAGAACCCACCCATCATTTTGCAGGATAATGCTCTGCTGCATGCAGCGCAAGCTGTGGCTGATTTGTTTGATTGATGGGGCTGGGAAGTGCTGTACCATCCACCATATTCCTTGGACTTATGCCTTTGTGACTTCGACTTGATTCCTAAGATGAAGGAACCACTTCGTGGCATTCGCTTCAGAACTCTTCCTTCAGGCAGTAGACTGCTCCATTTGAACTGTCAACACAACAGGCTCTGCTAAAGGTATCCTATGACTTCCACATCGCTGGCAACGGGTTGTACACAATGCTGGTGACTACATTGAAAGACAGTAAAACTTTGAAACATGCGTCTATTTTGTATCAGTTGTACATAAATAGTTGTCACTATTGAAGTTCCAACCCTTGTATGTAGCTGGTGATTGTCCTGTGTGACTAAAGAAAGTTTGGATGCACGGAGCAAATGGTGAACTAATGAGCAATCCGTGAAAATGTTGTATTTATATGACTGTGCTGTACATAGTTATCAAGTGCTTAACTAATGTTTAACAAGATGCTGAAATTCAGTTTTCTTTCCCCCCATATTAGTAATTCGTTGATGTATTTCAGGTCTACAGTGTGGGCAGGATGACCAACATTCACCATTTGCTGAACTGTTCAGAAGCAGTCCATTTGTTTCATGAGTAAGTCCCAGAAGCTGGTGCTCTGATAAACTATGGTGATTGTGTGGACACTAAGTCATCTCACATGCAAGAGAAGAATGAGAAACGTATTGTCTACTGGGTAGTTCTTGAGTGTGGAACTTGGTCACTTGCTGCAACTGATTCTTCTTGTGAACCTTGTTCACTTCCCAATGCACCCCATCATGAAGGCCAGTACGGATTGGACCATGGGCTGTGGCAGGACAATTCCTGATAATATCAGAGCAAAGTCTACATTTCACACCTTGTCCAGCTCTGGGCAGAGCCAGAAGGCAATATATCATCACCCTCTGAGGATCCAACAAACACAAAAGAAAGGAAACAGGCCCACGAATTGGTTCTCCAAAGGATTACGCTGGTCTGTTGAAGGTGTGGCGTAGCTGCTTTGCCGAATATACCTCTTAGTACAGCTATACATCGATCCACTGTGACATCATCAGCGACCCTTTCTGTGATGGCAGCAACCTTGTCTGCCAGTAATACAAGAAGAAATGGTGCACATTACAAGTTCCAGAGCAGTAACCACTGGCCACTGCTTGGTGTTGTGCTGTCATTTCCAAATGATCTTCGTTATTTATCTGATGTTGACCGTGTTCTTTTGTGAAAATGACATATCAAATGGAAATATTTTATACAATTCTTGGGTATTTGAGTATGGGGCCAGTCATTGCCATTTCTCCAACTGCCTCTCGAATAAGCTATGAATGGAAAGTAATTTTTGAGGTAAGCTTTTGACAATATGATTGGAACATACTGAGGGATGATATAAGAATAGCAATTTGTTGCAAGGTAATCAAAGATAATTTTTTCCATTTCAGGGAAACTTCTGGGAAAAGTAATGGAAGCTGTGGTTAAAGCTTTACCATCCATAGCAGTGGTGTTGTGACAGTTGGAAGACATCTTGAATTTAACTAATGGTGAGTAGCGTATTGTCATGTGTTAGTGACCAGACATGTTTGCATTGATTATTGGATTTACTGAACACTTAAAATAGTCTCATTATTTTACATGCTTTAGAAACAAATATGGCATGCACTAAATCTCCGTTTGTTATAGTCTTCACTGGTTGTTAGGCTACGTCAAAGCCACATTGGTTTTATAATTTACACGTACAGTACATGGTATAATCGGGTATATGTGTGTATGTCTATATATACACGAGGCCTCTTTGTCAGTCCAGGTTGAGAACAGCAGATCATGCCATATCTTAAGTAGCTCATGCTACAATGGCAGCCTAGTTGCTTGAATGGTTGTATGCTTGACCACTGCTAAGTTTAAGCCTCTGTTGGTGTGATAAAAGTGGTAATTTGGAATACAGAACCTCTCATGTTTCAGATGTGCTTTGAAAACAGATCTATGTGTAGGTTTTGCACCTCATTACTGAAGCTCATAGTGCTGCCTCCCAGTGCCATTTGCATAAAATGCTACGATTTTGAGATGTCCCATTGGTCCTCATTATATAGTTTCAGCATTTACCTCATATAAGACATCGTTTGCAACAGTTCCTTCAGTGATGCATGATGTATATGTTGCTTACAGAATTGAAAAGCCCCTTTGCTGTCCATGTATTGTAATGTGTGATTCAGTACCCATAGATATGACATCCCCTTTGACCACTCTAATTCTAGGCTTCCAACACAATGGATCCACGGTTATTAGCATATATAACTTGATATCAAATATAAGTTACAGTAGGTCATGGCACAGTCCAGGTGGCTAATCAGCCTACCCATAGTGTTGGACTGGGATCGATTCCAGAGCATGTTATGGGCAAAGTGGTATTGGGGTGGGTTTTCTCTGAATACTCCAGTTTATCTTGGCCAGTTCATAGTCCACCATTTGCTCCACACCTACTATATGTTTCCAATAGTTGTTGTGGAGGGAAGACCAGATTTTCTTTGTGTATCCAAAAGTTCCCGAAATATATTAATAAAAACTTGCCTGGATCTTATTCTGCACCATCACCTTCAAAGTAGTCCCCTTGGGAGCGCATACACCGATCCCAGCGTTTCTGCCACTTTAGAAATGTATCCAAAGTCTTTCTTTGTTAGGATGTTTAGTACCATCTGCGTTTCAGCTTGAATTTCCTCAACTGTATCAAATTTTTGCCCCTTCAACTTGATTTTCATCATGGGAAGAGAAAGAAGTCCCATGGAGCTAAGTCTGGTGAGTATGGTGGTGGGGAACAAATGCCATCTTGTTTTTAGCCAAAAATTCCTGCACATTGTAAGCCGTATGCAGTTGTGCATTATCATGGTGGAATACCCGCGCCAATTCTCTAGACGTTTTCTCCTCATGCCCTCCCTCAAACACCTTAGAACATCGTGATAGAACTCTTTATTGACTGTCTGACCAGGAGAGACAAACTCCTTATGAACAATCCCGTCAGTATCATAAAAACAGATCAACATGGACTTAATGTTGCCCTTGACTTGTCCAGCTTTTTTTGGCCGAGGTGAAGAAGGGCTCTTCCATTGGGACAGTTGCTGCTTACTTTAAGGGTCATAGCCATAAACCCAACTTTCGTCACCAGTGACAACCTGACACTGGGGGTAGGCCCATCGCGAGGCCTCTGCCTGTATGCTGAGCGGCACAAGCACGGGGTAGGCGCACACAGGAGACATCCAGACATCCATGCCTTGAGTGGGGTTCGGGCCCGCAGTCCCAGAGTTCTGGCGGGCGGGGACGGTTCGTACCTCGGGCCGCGAGGCCCCCGTGATTGGTGTTAGTTAACTCACACAACCCTCTAATTTATAATTCATATTCAGTGTCAGTGAATTAAGCTGTACCAGTTGAAGTCGGTTACACGTTGATGATTTAGAACCATAAACTTCGACATTATTTTTAGCGACATAATAGTTCTCCGAAAACATAGCCATGTATGTAAGAACTACATCCAGGTCCATTGGGAGAGTTGCTGATATGATTCATAACACAGGTCTGCAACCAAAAAACTGCATAGGATATTTTTACTGTTTCTTATAGATTTTGTCCCACTAAAACCAGAATAAATAGTAAAAAAATCCATCACATCAAATTTTTTTTTTTTTGCAAAACTCATATATTTAGTTGAATTTTGCGTGAAATTTCTCTTCAACATGAAATCTGGTATCCTATTGTTGATTCTAAAAACCATGTCCAATAATTATTTCTTACTTTAAAATAATATTTATAAGAGTGAATCTAAAAAATAATACAAATNCCGGACAACTTTTCTTTTATGTGTGGTGAATACGTAGTCAACAAAGAAACATAAGTGATTTTGTGAAGAAAGTGTATTTTGCTTATTTCAAATTGAAACTTGGGGATCAAGACAAACCTTGGGCTCCTCACAAGGTGTGCAGAAGGTGCGAGGAAGATCTTTGTTTGTTGTTTAAGGGTAAGAAAAACTCATTTCGTTTTGGCATTCCTATGATGTGGCATGAACAGCAAAACCACACGACTGATTGTTATTTCTGTTCGGTAGATGTGAAAGGCTTTAATACAAAAAATAAAAAGAAAATATCTTACCCAAACCTTAATTCAGCTATTTGTCCAGTGCCTCATAGCTCTGAAATACCAGTTCCCCTCCCACCTTCCAGTTTGGATGATATACAGAGTGATTCGGAGGATGGAACTATATTACTACCCTAGGATGAATCCAGCTCAGATTTTTCTGTTGATGAGGGACCCCAAACCTTTTTCTCAGAGTGAGCTCAATGACTTAGAGATTTAGGCCTTTCCAAAGATGCAGCCGAATTGCTATGGTCAAGACTAAAAAATAAAAACTTGCTGTCACCTGCAACATCATTCTCGTGGTACAGGCACCGAGAGAAGGAATTCACTCAATTTTTCTCCAAAGAGGGAAATCTCGTTTTTTGTAATGATGTTCCAGTGCTCATGAAATGCTTTGAAATAGAATATGATCCATCTGAGTGGCGCATTTTCATTGATTCATCTAAAACAAACCTCAAAGTAGTCTTGCTGCATAATGGAAATACGTTTGCATCAATTCTTATGGGACATTTGGTGCATTTGGAAGAAAACTAACGATTTGGCTGTGATACTTGAGAAAGTCAACTATCAAGAACACCAATGGATGGTTTGTGGAGACTTCAAAATAATAACCATGTTGTTGGGCCAGCAGGCAGGTTATACAAAACATCCCTGCTTCTTATGCCTGTGGGGCAGTCGAGCCAGAGACCCCTGTTATTTTCCAAAAAACCGTACGTGATAAGGGGAAATTGAGGTCATTTTTGGATTCAGCATCCTAGAAAACATAAAGTTTACCAAAAATATTCCATGCAGCTGAAAAAAAAATATTTTTGCAGACCTGTGTAATCAGCGGTTGGTTACTTTGCGACTCCATTTTCAGATTCTAACATACAGTGTGCACATTATAGAAGCTTAATTGTTGGTAGCCATTTTTTTCAAACGTCACTAACGAGTTGCCTATGTTAGATCTTTCATATACAATAGCTACCCTATTAATTTGGCATATGCGACCATGCGAGTTCCATAAACTGCATTGTAAATACTACCTTGGATGTGCAAAATCTGAAGAGAAGAAAGTGTGCCTGAGAAAAGCTTAATGAAAATAAATCAGAAGGTCCTGACTTAAAATATCATATATCTTGAATGAAGTTTCCCCTAAATTTCTGACAAATGGCTCCTTCCGTTGACATTCACCATTTGTCACTCCCAGTCATCATACTTATCACACTTATAAACATTGTACTTGAAAATCATCATTGAATAAAGCACAGTGCGTCATTTAGCCCATTTAAAGTGATAGTAATGAGTGGCATTTAGCCCATTTAAAGGGACAGTAACCCAGGGTTCACTTAGGCCATGCCATAGCTCAGAGGGATAATCATTGGATTTGGCTACCTAGGTTCGATCCCAGGTCAGATACTTTGGAATTTGTGGTGGACAAAGTGTCACTGACTCAGGTTGTCCCCGATTACTTCGGTTTCCCTTGCCAATTCTCATTCCACCAAAATGTTTCATACTAATCTATCATCCAGGGCTGTTACAGTAGTTCCACTAATGATCAACATGCCAAGTAGACTCAGTCTCACCTTGCCACATGGAAGAAAAAACTAGGGTTCACATCCTGGTATGTTATTCTTCTTTCAGAAGAACACCAGCGAACAGTTTGTTTAGGACATATGACCGCTGTTACGCCACTTGTTATGCCGTGGTGGAAGGGGGGCGTGGAGGTATCCCCGCTGCCACCTTCTGTACTTCAGTCACAGGGGGTGGGCTAAGGAAACTGCTTAATTACTTCCTCTATCATTGCTCCATTTGCTTCATTGGCTAGGGGCACACTGTTCACCGGGCTTGGCAGGAGGGCGCAGGTGCGAAATTGGTAAGGGAGGAAATCACAAAAACAGAAACCCACATCCTCACCCTATGCTACCCTATATTAGTATAAACACGTAATATACAGTTATATACATTTTAGTAATATCACAAAGAGCCGACTGGTGTCGGATTACCATTACACTTTCTTAGACGATTCTTGGACCTCANTGAATCTGGTCGTACTGCAATACACGACGAAAAAAGAACTGGGAGACCGTCAATTTCTGACGAGACAGTCGCGAAGATTGAGCGAGTCATGCATCAGGATAGGCGCATCACACTCGATGATCTCTGCATTTCGGTTCCCGAGGTTTCCCGAACCACCATTTATCGGGTTTTGACAGAGAAGTTAATTAAGATAATTATCGGAAGGTGTGCGCAAGATGGGTCCCGCGAATGCCTACGGAAGGCCACAAACGGCAGAGAGTTGACTCTTCCCGTGAATTTCTTCGCCGCAATGCTGACGAAAAGGACAACTTCTTGAATTCAATTGTCACAGGCGACGAAACCTGGGCGTACCACTTCACACCTGAGACGAAACAACAATCACGTCAGTGGCGGCATTCCTCTTCGCCTAAGCCTCGAAAATTCAAGCAAACACAGTCTGCCGGTAAAGTCATGGCAACTGTGTTTTGGGATTGAAACGGGGTATTGTTGGCTGACTATGGAAACTGGGAACACAATAAACGCTGAGAGATATTGTGAGACACTGAGAAAACTCAGGCGGGCGATTCAGAACCGAAGAAGAGGGATGTTGAGCAAGGGCGTAAGCATTCTCTACGATAACGCTCGCCCCCCATGCTGCCCGACAAACCGTCGCTCAACTGCCACAGTTTGGATGGAACATCATCACCCATCCACCCTATAGTCCGGACTTGGCGCCCAGTGACTACCATCTCTTTCCAAAGTTGAAAGAACATTTGTCTGGAAAACGCTTCAACAATGACGATGAGGTGAAAGCTGAGGTTCGAAGTTTCCTGAACAGCATGGAGGTGAACTGGTATGACATGGGCATACAAAAACTGCCACTGCGCCTACAAAAATGCATCGACCGAAATTGCGATTATGCAGAGAAATGAGTACATGTTCAAGATTCAACTGATGTATCCAAAATTGAAAATAAATGTTTATTTTATATTTTCAAACCTAGGAGACCTTACTTTTGGAATTACGCATCCCTGCATCTAGACACACCAGCTGCAGCCTCTGTATTACACCTGTCTACCTCTGCATCACTCCCTTTAGTCACTCTAATGCCCTGTACACTTGTAACGTTCCTAACTCAAGTCCCATTGGAGGGGTTACACTTTGATAATATCACAATTATTATGCATGGCGATAAGAGTAGTTTCACTTACTTTGCGTGGAGACTGCAGATGGATGGCGTGGCCCGTCGCTTAGTCGGTGCTTCTTCCAACATGGCCTCCGGCCGCAATCGGCCAAAATTACTGTTCGAATAATCCCCATAATAATTTGCCCTCCTGGTTATATACCTTTATTCATGCTAACTCATTACTTTCCTGGGGGGTGTAAGTCCGCCTATAATGACGTCTTATCCCATGGTGGGTGATCTCAATGGCTGGGATCCTAAGGGGGTAGACACGCCCCTTACCGCTAGCCCATTTGGCTAACACTTTTACCTGTAAACGTCCCTCCCTTCACTCAAGTGTAGATTCTGTAGAGTTAGCAGTTCGGTATTCATTCAACGTCATTCTGCTGACAAGACATCGACGCGTCAAAAGCTAACGGCCGTCTAACTCCATACGCAGAAATTCCTTGAAGTTTCTTAACCCTTCTTACATCCTCTTTCTTATGTCTTAGTATTTCCCCAAAACTAATTGTATCCTAGCCAACATTTTCCCCTAAAATACAAAAAGTTAAATACTCTCTTAACATATTACCGGGAGTCGGCCTTCAGGGCACAACAGCCGCAATCACCGTGTAGCGGCTTTTCGAACTCTTCAAAGCCTATTTGAGCCTATTTGAGCTGTACTGACCTTTTGGTTTTGAAGAGACCGTTGTTGGCTGTGCTGTTTCGTCTATTGTTAGAAGCTTGCTTCGTGAGGACGAGCTGGTCTAAGTAGTGATGACACAGTACTCGTCCATGACAACACATATCGGCAGCATTGTGCATAGGCCAGTCAGATTTGATTTCTTGCACATGAATGTTGAAAGCTATGATTCAACAATAAAATTACATGCAGACAAGCCATAAATTTCCTTTCGGTTTGCGGAAGTCAGATTACCGCAGCAGACACATCATATTATTCACATAGTCGCATTCCAATTCGAGCCTCATATCAGTGTTCAGAGTGCTAAGTGAAATTAAAGTTGTAGAAAGTAAAAATTAAGAAAAGTTGATTCTCATCACACATCATGTTCCACCATTAACAATAACCTGACTTCTCGCATGTCGGCAATGCTGAGTAATCTAAGAAACTGTAACACTATTCAACTGCATGTAACAAACTACTGCGGTTGATTAAAGCCATTAATATGTGAATCAGCGCTTTCTGTTCTGATTTCTCATGAGTGTGGTAACTGAAACATGGATGTCAACATCCTACGCGGAAAAGCATTCGGTTCTAGGACAAGAAAAGAAAAAACAAAAACTGAGAACTATAGGTAGTCTGTTGCATGTAAATTGTGGAACTCTGAAGAAAATGTCAATTGCGCAAATGTCTGCGCAAATCAATTCGTGCTGCTAGCTTGCAGTTACAACTTGCACGTTCAACAGTGCACGATGTGCTGCACAAAAGGCTCCTCCCAAGAGTGTAAGAAAAGGTTATTTCATGTTAAGGAGTGGGAATTTCTTTGATGCTTTTCTGAAACTTACCTTTTGTGATAAATATTTAATGGTTCGTTTTGCAGATTTGTATATATCTAAAAAAAAAAAAAAAAGGAAAGAAAGGACTTCAGTATGCTACACAGATATACACTTACAATTGAATTCCTGGCTTGTTACCATAATGTCAATTTGTTCCTGTTCTGAACACGACACTTTGAGTGTGTACATTCGTGGAGCAACACATATCCCATCATTATTACCCAGCTGGGTCAACAGCATTTGATTCAGTTCTGTTATATTCTGAATATAACTGCTAGGTATTCTTCCAATGGACTGAAGCAGTTAGACTTCACATTCTCCGTCTAAATGCTTTACTTGCACAGAGTGTAATTTTGTTTGCACAGTCGATGGCTGTTATCAGTTTGCATTCCTTAAATTTGTCTACCCTTATCCTAGCGTGATACTGTACTACTGTCCCTCTTCTTTTGCCCGCTGCTTTGGCCGCTCCTTTCCTCCTCGTAGTTGCTACGGCTACTCCTGCTTGCCGCTCCGCCCACCTTTACCCCTCCTCTTACTCTGTTATTTCTAGATAATCTTCCTTGCAATTTGGGTACAGAAGTAACCAGGTTGGATTTAGGATAATGGTAGGCATGGACCTCCTCTCAGGTCGATAACAGGTCTTTCTTCGAAGAAACTTCAGCACAAGGAACCCTTGGCTTTACAACCTTAGGTTTAATTTACTTATTCTTTGTCACAATCACTAATCTGTCATTTTCAATTATACATCACTCACTATTTATAGTAGTTACATTGACACTGTCCTGCCTACAAAGGCGATTCTATGAGGAAATAGCCAGTGCCTCCACTCACGAGGAGTGTATCTTATCAAGTCGTACCACTGGCTTGGCGACGCTAACAGACTTAAGGGCCTTCCCAGCACCACACCCTAGATGACATCGTTCCCCACATCAATCCGGGGATCCACCGTCCACTCTCCAGCTACAAAACTGCACATACAAAATAACGCCGTGCTATCGCCATGTAGGCACCTCCCCTCCAGGGCCTCACACATTCAAGTCCACTAGTAATCGGTTACAAACTCCCAAATATATTTTTGCATCATTTGGGCAAACCATAAATATGTAAAAATTTATTTAGTTGCCTGGAAACCTTTAACCGATTTAATTTATTACCAACAAGTCTTAATATATAATCTTCCGTACATGCCTCTATCACCAAGTGCCTGGGCTTCCACTCCTCACTAGCTCGTATAATCTAACTTACTCTTTCAATGCTGTAAAGATAATTTTGAGTCTTAATTTGCCTATTTAACCCCAAGTTTTTACTTGTTTACACAAATGTGTCAATAGCATATTGGATTCAGATTTATAGCATTTTCAACTTTAACTTTCTTACTACCCATCCTTTCTCTATTATAACTTGACTGTTGTTATTATGACGGATGTTTCTCTTTTATTTCAACCTTGCCTCACTTTGTTGGGCTTTACACATACACTTTGTAGTTCATCGACCTCCTGGGGTCAAAATATAACTCAAAGTTATATCATCTCGACTTTACTCATCAGTCCCTCTGGATTGGTATATTTGACGTAACTTATGGTTTAAACATCATTAAGTTCCCTCCTTGGGTACACATACTCTCCTACGTACCTTCTTCTTCTTTACACTATTAGCATCTGAATCCAATTGCAAAATTCCTTCAGTCCAACTGTACCTACCTTCCCCTTTAACATTTCATCAATTACTTTGTAACTTCTTTTTATTACAAATTATCTATTCTATGCTTATTGACTCAAAATATGCCCCCAGCTCACATAGTTATTTAACTTGTATAATTTTAAACAAATTTATATTCTCTTTGTTCACTCCTTTACATGGGTTTCTCACATTTTCACTTTGCATTCATACTATGTCATTAACTTTCCTTTCTTTATAGATTTTTATTAGTGCTGTGACAGTATTCTAACATACATTTATATATTTACTTTACTTACTTTTTGTACTGCTTATTTACACTGTTATATTTAGATTATTATTGTATAACATAGTCAAACTTAAGTTTTCTATTGTTAAACATAACAAAGCTTTAATTACAATATTCCTATACTTCCTGGTACATATTGTCCATTATTGTCCTTGATTGCAAATGTTAAGTTTCCTTTTAATGTTTCACTCATTTTTTTTTCTTGTAGCACTTTCACTTACTCTCCTTTCCCTTTTAAATTTCACTGAAAAATCATTTATCATGCTGCACTGTTGTCTTTACAACCAATTTGTTTACACTTTTCATTTATACATATACCTGTTTCCATGTTCTTTTACTTCCTTAATTTAACTCCCAAATTTACATTAGTGTATAGTACCTCATATCTAATCTATTCTTGAACTATGTAGGGCTTCAAATGGGTAATATGAAAAAGCCCTTTAACCTCCCCCAACTCATTCTGTAACTCATATAACCCAGAGTTTATTCTCTTCCTTATTAGGAACGGACCCTCGTATATTCGCTGAAATTTCCCGATGATACCTCGAGTAGCATCTGAAACTGGTGCACTTCTGACCAAAACTAAATCACCTACTTGGGGTTTCCATTCAAATCTACCCTTTTTCCTCTTACTCTTCCTTCTCTCTGCTTTGTCTTTAGTTCTACTATAAGCTTTCAAAATTTTAATAGGTAATTCTTCTTCAAGGGGCTTGTCTGGCAACTTCCGAATGATTTCTTTAAAAATTTCCCTTTTCGTTCCACCTTCCAATAATTCGATGGGTTTGTATCCTGTAGTCTGGTTGACTGACTGATTCAACCAGTCCTGAATGTGATTCACTAACTCAGGGTAACGGCTGATCTGCCTTCACCTGGAATTTATACTTCAATAAACAGCACTTGCCTGGTCGTGCAGTAAAACTAGGCAAATACTTATTTAATGCTTCAAATAATTGCAATTTCTGCTCCAAATTTATTTCCGAACTTCGGTCTATTATCTGGGCCAATTCTTCGCTTTGGATATCCCTGGGGTCTGCACATCTTGTCTCGCTCGGTNTTAAATAGTGGTCAGTCATTTTGTGAAGACACGCTTTAGTGGTTGCTGCTTTTAACGAATACAATGACACATGGTTTGAAAAAACTTCTAAACATACAAATAAATACTTGACTCCACCTCGGCCTGTAGGTAACGGACCATATAAATCCACTGCAACTAATTCTCCTGGGCTTGGAAGCAAATGTGATAAAGTTTCCACTTTAACTGATCTGTTGGGATGCTTTACCCTTTGACAAATGTCACAGCCTGCAATAAATTTTCGTAACTTTCTACCTAAATTCTTGACATAAAACATTGTTGAAATTTGATGCAAACATTTATCCGTTCCTTGGTGACCTAATGACTGATGAATATACTTAAATATAGGTCCTTCCAGCTCCTTTGGTAGCATGACTCTCCAATATGGGTGACACATGACACATTATTCCTTGTTGAAGTGAGTAAATTTCATTATTTTTGGCTGTTTTCGTTTGGATTTTCTCCCTGATTTGCTGCAAACTAGGGTCCTCCCGCTGCAATTTGGGTAGTTCTCTTAACTGTTTTATTACATCTCTGTTGATTCCCAAATCAATTTTGGCTTCTAATACATCCTGTTTGCTGTTCTGCAACTTACGAAGCTCTGGGCTTAAACCTGCAGGATTCCTACTTAATATGTCTGCAAAGAAATTCTGAGTTCCACTAATGTGCTTTATTTGCAGATTATATTCTTGCAATTGCATAATCCATCTGGTAACACGATCAGAGGTTAAATTGCATTTTCTCTAAAAGGATAGCGCCTTATCAGAATAAACTGTTACTGGGTGTCACACAATATAAATTCGAAATTTCTTAACAGCATACACAACTGCCAACAGTGCCTGCTCACATACTGAATATCTTCTTTCTATCTCAGTCAAAACTCTTGATGCAGCTGAAATAATTAAATTTTCTCCTAATTTATTTCTCTGACTTAAAATAGCGCTGATGCCTACTTTACTTGCATCTGTATAAATTTCATATGGCAAATCTTCTCTTGGGTGTGCCAATTGCAAACTTGTGGCAAAACTGTTTCTTAGGTCCTGAAATGCTTGCTCCCTTTCTCTTGTCCATTCCCATTTAACTCCTTTCCTCAACAATGGCAATAGTGGTGCTACATATTCTGAATACTTCAAAATAAATCTATTATGAAAATTGCAGGTCCCTAAAAACTGCCTCAACTGTTTCTGGTTCTTGGGTGATGGATAATTCAAAATGGCTTCGATCCTGGTAGGATCTGCAGCTACTCCTGCTTGACTGATGACATGGCCTAGGAAATTTATTTCCTTAATGCAAAATTTGCACTTGGCTGCATTCAAAGTAAAACCTGCTTGAATCAGTTTTCCAATAACAATATCTAGGTGTCTCAAATGTTCTTCAAGCGTTTTGGAATAAACCAAAATATTGTCTACATATGTTAAAACAAAACTCTCAGTGCCTTCACCCAATGCTAATCTCAATGCTCTCATAAAAGCTGGTAAAGAATTCTTAAATCCATATGGAACTCTTTTATGTTGGTATACTACTGAGTCAAACAAAAACGCAGTCTATTTTCTGGATTCTTCATGCAGTTCAATTTGTAAAAAGGCCGAATTTAAATGCAACGACGATATGAATTTGGCACCTTCAAATCTCTGAAGTAATTCTTGAAGTGGTGGAGTTCGTTCAAAATCAGGCTCAGTATATTGGTTTACTTTTCGTGCATCCACGCAAACACGGTTTTTTTTTCCTTCTCTAGGTACTATTGTCAATGGATTCAAAATATCAGAGTGACTTAATTCCAAAATATCATCCTTGATCATATCTTGTATTTGTGCTTTGATAACCGGTCTAAACGCAAAAGGAACCGGTCGAGAATACGAGCATAACGGCTGATCAGCCTTCACCTGGAATTTATACTTCAATAAACAGCACTTGCCTGGTCGTGCAGTAAAACTAGGCAAATACTTATTTAATGCTTCAAATAATTGCAATTTCTGCTCCAAATTTATTTCCGAACTTCGGTCTATTATCTGGGCCAATTCTTCGCTTTGGATATCCCTGGGGTCTGCACATCTTGTCTCGCTCGGTTCTTGGACGCGATAACAGTCTGCAGCGCTGAAGGTTACGTCATCTTCTTCCGCCAATACCCCACTGCGCCCCTGGTCCACGCACGCTGCCTCGACTTTCTCAAACTGATTTCGTACAGCCTCTGTCAAAACCAATTTACTCCCGCGANTGTGATTGCAGTCTGCAGCGCTGAAGGTTATGTCATCTTCTTCCGCCAATACCCCACTGCGCCCCTGGTCCACGCACGCTGCCTCTCAAACTGATTTCGTACAGCCTCTGTCAAAACCAAGTTACTCCCGCGATCTTCTTTAGTCAATACATTGCTTGTAAAACTCATATCCTTGGGATGAACAAATTTTTTATTATTTTGTTCAGTTGCTTGAAATTGGACACTCTTAGTTTGTCCTTGACGAACATAATCTAACTTTCCTAAGTCAAAACACAGTTGAATACCGTATTCTTTCAAAAAACTACAACCCAAAATAACATCACAATTCAATTGTGGGGCCACCAAAAACACTGCTTCAAATGTCTCTTCCTCAATGTTGAATTCCATTAACATTTGTAACTTAATTCCCTTTGACCTTTTGCCAAATGCAGTTACTAAGTTTATTCCTTGGACAGGCAAAGTCAACACTTCAATCCCAGCCTTACTCAACTTGTCAAATGTATCTTGGGATATTAAATTCACTTCACTCCCAGAATCCAACAATGCAATTGCAACTTCCTTGTTTTCAAACTTAATTGTAATTTGTGGACTTTTGCTTAAATCTTCCTCATTAATAAACAATACTATTTGGTCACAATCAGTTTTCCCTTGATCAATTNTTTCAATTTTTGCTTCATCAATTTCTTTAGACAATGTTAAATTTTCTGAGGGACCTAAACTTGTAGTTTTCTGAAATATGGAAGCAATTCGGTCCTCAAGGCTCCCTACACTTAGTTTTCCTCAGTTCCTCTAGGCCTTTCCTCTCGGTTATTTCTTTCTCGATCCCTACTCCTGCCCCAGATGTTATTTTTGCTTTCTTCAGGTCTACTACTTTCTTCACGAGAGTCCCGCCCCCTACAGCTTGTCTAGTCTGTATTACTTCTCCAGATTTCCCTTTCATTTGGAACATATCTTTGTACTTGCCGCACCTGT